TTAATTCCCTTGGAGAAAAAATTTATTTATATTTTTCACTGCTCAAAACATCCTTCCCACTGAAAATTCATTGATAATATCAGGATTCCCAGTGCACTTTCATTTTGGGGTGGAAGGAAGTGAGGGATTAGTTTGGAGGAAGAAATTAGAGGGAGGGAGTGTCTATAAAAAACTCATTTGGTAGATTAGAACAGCAATATTCCTGATGAAGAACACAAGTGCCCACTTTTGATATAATTATGCTGCTGTGTTTGGCTCTCTGCATCACTTTTTGTTCCTTAGAGACAGATGACAGACTAAGAAAGGATTGTCATATAGTTACTGCATTTGTAAACACCAAACAAACATAAACAGTGAAGCATCTTTTAATGCAATGTGACATATTGATTCACCATACATTTCTGGCCGAGCTGGTGTCAGGAGCAAAAACACTGACATATTAGGACAGTTCAGCCTCTGTCTCTATGAGTACCATGAGGATTAAACTGTGAAAGTTAAAGCCTTGATAGAAAACCATGCCTTAAAATGAATTTGGGGCTTTTCATTGGGTGTTTCCTAAAGCAAATTTCTAAGAATTGAGACCAGTTAGCCCATGGGGTCTTTTAGTCCTGCTTGAACTGGCAACCATCCTTGGCCATATGAGGAGGTGGAGAAAAAGTAAATAGAAGTCAGTTCCAATTCTTAGCAGGTCATCAGTAGCCTTTTTATTTGATTTATTTATTTTGCATTCTACATCCACTCATTTTGGAGAAGGAAGCCATCTGATTACAGTATGACCTAAACCTTAGCAAAGCCTCTGGTGGAAATGTTTCCATTTATGAACCAATATTTAAGAGGCCTCAATACTTTTAGTATCTATCTTCACTCCCATAGCCTTGGATTCAGTTTATTAGTTATTAGTCTAAAGATAGCTCTTAATCATATTCTGTTTAGTATGATTTTCAGAAGTCTTGAGAGTCAGTCACTGGTATGAATGAATAAATGTATGAGCTGGGTAATTATGACAGGACAGATGGCGCCCCAAAGACCCTCCATTGCCTAATGTTACCTTTTGTCCTCTGGCTTCACTAACAGGAATACTGTGTCTGGAATCCCTAGTTACAGTTATTTTATGTTCCATTAGTTTCTTTTGCAGTAAGCCAGCAAAGGAAAATACATAACATACACTGAAATGTATGCATGTTATGCTCATGTCTGACGCTGTCATACTTGTTTTCTTCTACCTTGGCTGATGGATAAGAAGAGAAAGAGAGAAATAGCCTACACTTCCTGAGTGCTTACACTGAGCCTGGCCCCGTGCTAACTACTTTACACTTTATCTTGTTTAATCTTCACATTTAATCTCCATTTCACAAATGAAGACACTGAGGGAAGAGAAGTTAGGTTAATTGCTAAGTAAGGTCATACAGCTGGTGAGGCACAGGGTGCCACAGTGTGCAGCCCTCAACTCTGTGTGCAGTGTCTCCTCTACGTGGCTTCAAGGTCTCCCATTAGGTGCTCAGAAAGAAGGGATCAAGCTCCTCTCTGCCATAGAAAAGAAACTATTATCAGGAAACACTGAAGCTTCTGTGGCCTTTCAAGGGCAAGAATAAACATCCTTTAAGACACTAATAATGGGGCTGCTGAACAGCACCACGGCTATTATTGTTTTCATGGCTGACACTTGGCCGACACTTGGCCGGGTCTTTCTCTTCTTCATTTTCAGGCTAATAATTACATTTAAATCTCTGATAGGAGTCTAACCATTACCCCAGGGGGGTTCTAGATTTCTTTACTATTGCTTGCAAAGATTTTGTTTAAAAAAAGCCCTTTGAAGCTGTAAGTAAGTTACACTCAGCAACAGCTTTTAAAAATCTATTATCTTACCGAGTCTTTTGAAGAACACATGCTGCTCATTCCTTTCTTGCCTGGCGAGGACATCCCTTATTTTTAATCTCCAACTGGAAGAATAAAAGTACCCAGAGAAGGTAGTTTTGTGAAATGTTCTCCTCAGTACCTGTGTCCCTGCTGGGATGATCTGGACAGTGTCCAGGGTCTCAGAATTTGTAGTTTTAAGGATTTTGTTTTTATTTTCTAAAATAAATGTTTTCTAGATATAGTGAAAATTATTGTGTTGGCTTTCTCAGGGGAAACATGAAAAAGTTCTTCATATGAGTAAATTAATTTCTGAACCTGTGTCCAGATTGCTTTGAGGAAGGCAGAGACAAGGCTTTGTACAGAGGTATTTACCCACCATGCTTTGCTCTCCTCCCACAACCACACTGATCTGTCCAGCTTTCCTCAGTGTAAAGCTGCCTGACCCAAACAGGGCCCTTTATATTCTCTGAGGAACAAGATGGAGTCTCAGAAAAAGCAACTAGCTGGCTCAGGTGGGGAGCTGGCCTCATTAGCATATGGTAAAGCAAATGATTGGCCTTCCTGGAGGCAGGGTCACTCAGGAGGAATCTGTTCAGAGGCCCATCATTTTTTTTGGCTCCTCTTGCTTTTGAGGAGGGGCAAAGCACTTGCTGTCTCTCTGATAGGTCTACTCTATACAATAAAGAAAGATGATTCTACCCAGAAGGCCTAAGCATTGGGTGAATGATTCCTGCCAAACACTTCAGGCAAATATTTTACCTGGAGAATGTACTGAACACTTTTCAAGAGGCAGAAAAATAATACCAGAATATTTAATTTGACTAGATATTGTGTTTTTGGAAAAAACTTCATTGCAAAAAATAATTTGTTACAGTTCCAAGCATAATTCTTTTAGGCAATTAATAAATTCTCCACTGTCTATCAATGGCCTTAAAGCATAAAGGTTTCATAATTTTCTGACAAATTTATTTGAACAGAAATTAGAGAAATTAATATTTGTTGATGTTTTCAAATATATTCCTGTATAGGAGCCAGGATACTCCTTTCATCTAGTCAGTTGTTACTAGAACCCTTTTTATCAATAGGCAGGCACATGGTTAAAGATGGGAAAAGCTCTATTGAATCCATTATTATTACATTAAAAAATTCAAGATATATATCTAACCAATCCAACTGTGAGAGGAACACCTGATACCACTGCAATGAGGAAAGGTTTCTTCAGGTAACCAAATATATGCTTCTGCTAACTTACAGGAACAAGGCTCTTGAACATCACATTCTAAAAACGCCTGGTTGAGTTGGGAGAGGAAACTCCCTGGAGAGTGAGCTGCATTCCTAGAAAGAGCTGCCTGGAGTGGGGTTGGAGACCAGCCACACAAGGCTTTCACCCAAGGCAGTGGGAAAGCTATTCTTGCTAACGGAGGAAGTAGCAGCCATGGTGAGTACAAGGGTTTTAGTTCTATCCAGTTGCCCTTAGCACAGCAGAGCTCATAGATGGTGGTACAGACGATAAGAGCACATGCTACCCAAAGCAGATTAATTGCAGCATCCCCAAAGCAATGTCTTGATAAAAATGAGTAGAATATATATGTAATTAGAGAGCAAACAAACTTTTCAAACAATTTTTATGTGTTGTCACTTTAACTTCAAAAAATTTCAGACAACTCAAAAGAAAATTTGGAAGGAAAACTAGTTTTCTTTTTTGTGTGTGTTTGGAGGACAGATCTATGATCAGATAAGATTATTTTAAGTAGAGGCGCTCAGAAAGCTATGGTGTTGCAACCTGTATGTTACCATAATCCATTGTTTATTAAAGTTGTCAAACCTGAGGCCTTGAGGTGGAAAGATGCCACACAAAATTGAAACCCAGCTGCATTTGGAAGCCTACACCTTGGTGGGAGTTCTAATCAGGTTGAGTACAGTTCTGTGCCACCCTGAGCAGCTTTCTGTGCAGAAAGCAGGCCATTAAATGCTTTCTGAACTCCATTAGTTACTCCTGCTGAGAGTGAAAAAGTCCTCACAAATGCATAAAAATTAAATTGCCTATGAGGTAAGGAATAAGATGGTACTTTGTTTCCAGGTATTTATTTTCCATTCAAGTCATCTACAATAATCACATATATAATGCAGAACCATAGAGTACAGACCTGAAAGGATGCAGTACTGACTAGCAATCCTATGCCCAAAATCTAATGCCATTTCCTCACTTGGTAACTATCCTTGGGCTTTTGCTTCAGGTGAACCTTCCATCGCCTCCCACCCCAAGCCAGCTTTATGTGCTGCAAACACAACCCACAACCTCCACTCCTGGCTAGATGTGGAAGTGAGGCTGGTTCACTAGGGCAAGAGATGCTTGGTCTCCATGACCCAAGGGATGGCATGGGACCCAGACAGAGGCCCAGGTGTGAGTTGGTATAGACTATTGAGAAAGACATTCACTGTTTTCACCCCTCTACTTTCCCAGAACCTTTCACCAGGACCTGGTGGGTCTGAGACTGCAGCCAGTCCTTTGCCATCACACAGAACCTGGAAAGGAGGGCTACATAGAGGGGAGAAAAGCTGAAAGCTGAAGACACACTGGTCCTTGATACGATTTAGAGGCCTAGAATCCAGCTCTAACATTAGAATTTTCATGTTACATTAGCCAACAGATCCCATTTTTTTCCCCTCTTAGATTTGGATTTTTAACTTGTGGTCAAATAGACAACCAATTAAAATGGAGAACCAGGCATTTCAGTTTTGCAGAGGCTTACCTCATTTTATAGACAAGGACACTGAGGCACAGTTAAGTGCCTTGCCCAGGTTCTCAGCTAGTTAGCAATACTGCCAGAACTAGAACCCAGCTCTCCAGTTTCTCATGTGATGTTCTTATCCCACCATGGGAAAAATTAATTAAACGTAGTTATGAAACATAGTGGGCCTGTTGAAAACTCTTAATTAGAACTCTGTTCTAGTTAAAAGTTCATGTATTGGGCATTATACTTTAAAAAGGAATTTGTACTTATTATTTTCAGTCATCCTTTGCATTGTTACATGGGATATGGACAACTTGAAAAAAGACATTAATAAAATAAATCTCAGAAATGTGCTCTCATATGCTGTTGCAATAGAAATAGTTCAACAAAATAGCTTAAAGTGTTTTATTAAGTATATATAATATTACAGGGCAATATTTACAAAGTTATGTTTTTTTTTTAAATAAAAAAGTACCTTGGCAAAGATTGCAGATATTCAAAGCTTCAAACAGTGATAAATTGATTTAATACATATAAAAAAACCTTTAACGGTAACACAGCTGTAAAACAACTTTGGTCTTTAAATCACTGCAAAGAAATGGCTACTGACAAATAGCACACCTTTAATTGCTATGCAGAAAGGCCCCCGAGAGAGCACCTTGAACATAGCAACACTGGAGTTCTCTTTATTATTTAGAATGGTTAATGGATATTTATATGATGTGGGATTGAATTCTCAACAATGGCTTTTGTAAACAATGTTTTGTTTAATAAAAACAAAACATGTTTTCTTGGCTCACCAATCATAACAACACTTTTAAGATTCCACTGATGTGGTCTTTCAGAGAAGCTTATTACAAATGCTTTCTTTTTTCCTTCTTTTTTTTCAGAAGACCAGATTTGTGGAAAACCTGGTCTTAAATGGTCATAATTAAGAACTGTCAAAGTTAAAGGCAGGGAAACTTCCTGATTACTGCCCAACTCTTCAGCATTAAATTGGACTACTCCAATTAGCCACAGAAAGTGACTTAAAGGGATCCCCAGTGGGTGATGGCAGTTAGCAACTCTGAATATACGACACACTTGTAAAACTCATGTTTCTAAATAAACTCTCAATCAAATAAAATACAGTAAAAGGAAAAAGGGTTGCCAGACAATTATTTCTCCAGTTTCCAACAACAGGCAAATAAAGGTTATATTTCCGTATATGTACCACTGTTCGCCATTTTTAAATACTCATTGTAAGACAAGAGAAATCTAGGTGATATACAGTTTAATTCTTATGCATGAGATGGAGGAATAAACTTATCACTTTTTGAGCTTTATTAACTTAAATCACAATTTGGTTGGTCACTTACTAAATTGATTACCATGCCCTGAAAAAAAAGCAATATTCCCTTATTATGGGATAGCCCCATTATTATAATTCTCAAAAATTTAAGCAGAATGGACCTCAAATTCCCAGATAAAAATTACCTTTTAATGTTTTCAGAGCTGGTGAAATTTGTCAAAAAAGAAAACTCTCTACTCACCCTATTAAGAATAGTGAGAAATTTAAACACAGTCAACTCTCAGTTATGTACTGAGTGTCTAATGTATGCAAAACACTGCAGGAAGAGAGAAAAAAGAAAAGTGCTTCCTGTGGAAGGAATTTAAAACCCAGTGAGAAGAGCAAGACAAAAAAACCAAAAGGGCTAAGGAAAGAAGTACCAGGGAAGGGTGAGAGATGAAAGAGGCCGCTAGACAGATAGGGACAGACTGCCAAAGACAGCCAGTGGGGGAGGAAGGGCTGCTGGAGCAGAATGTTTTGAAGGAGAATAAAAATGTGGTTTCCAGCAAAAATGCTGGAAAGGTTGTTGCAGAAAATGACAAATGTTATCACTGTACTATTGTACAAATGGAGAATGTATAATGAATAAAAGTGAGTGGAGGAGATGACAGGAATTGGGATTGGGGACTAAAACACATCTTATGGGGCAAAACAGGTATCTGATGCTCAAAACATTGTTAGCAATTCAAATTTGATATGACAGGAATCAGGAGCCATATAAGTCTGATTTACAGAGAATGAACTGGCCCAATGATGCCCAGGCAAGAGGACTCCTGCTGCCACCGACCCTTATCCAGAGAAGCTGACAAGCAAGAGAAAGAGTTGATTTCATGTGACATTTCTCCTGCTACCTCTGGTGACAATTTTTAGGGCAGTGAATGTCTTGAAAGGCAGACAGCATCACAGAGATCACAACAGATGGGCAGACCCAAGACTGAACCCCAAATAAACGTGAGTTTACTGCATATTAAAAGGTACAACTTTAGATCGTAAAAAATTTGATTTTACACAGTTTCATACCTTTCTTAATAGAGAACAAGAATTTGGAGCTTTTCAAGTCCATCTGCTTTTTTCCCTCATCAAAACTGACTTCTATAGTGACAAACAATGTTAGCAAAGTGTAAATATTTTCAGAAGAAAAAAGAGCAGCAAGAACCATCAGATTTGTATAAAGCAATGCAGCTCCCTCTCCATATACTAATATTTTTGAGAGCTACATAGTCAGGGAAGATATATATTTTTCTCCAAGAAAAGTTGTCTTGATAATGTGTTCAGTTTTCTGAGAGGCCTCAGCAGATCATAAGTTTAAGGTTTGTCATGGGCAAACCACTTGGTCCCAACATGAAATATGACAATAAATTTGGCATACAAGAGGCACATGGAAACATTCATACACTAAGAAATAACTGTCAGTAGTTACAACTACAAATATGTCTTCTTACACAAACAGGAAGAATCACTAGTATTTTTAGAGGGTATTAGTGAGCAGTCAAAAAAACTTGGCAAATCATCTAGAAGTTTTTAAAGTTTGAAATAATCAAATATTTGCATCAAATATAATTCCACCCAATAAGGACCTTTGATTTTAAATTATTTACTAAAAACACGAAGTTAGCATTTGCTCTCCTGTAGGTACCTCACTTTTGTCCATACAGAAGATGCATGTGCCTACCTTATACATGTGCACATACAAACACACACCCACAAACGAGGTAAAAAACGAGTGCTAATAATCTAAAGTACTCAGGCAATCACAACTGTCGGAACATTGATTTTCTTCTAACTGGGGCAGGAAATGTGTGGTTTTGTTTTACTTTTCAATCTTGGGAAGGGGAGCAGAAGGCAGGATACAGGAGGAAGGTGATGAATGTTCATCATGCAACAGAGACACAACAAGAGTGAAGCTGCCCTTCCGGGGCTTGCCTAGGGCCTGGTGGAGACACACAATATGTTGCCATGCAGGAGACGCATAGTTCAGATTTCAGTCTTGCTTTTTCATGCCTCCAATCAGAAAAGAAGTGAAGAAACACTGTAGATTTTTGCTTTCAAATCAGAGGAAGGGAATACATATGTTACAACCATAGCTATTTTTGCTGAAAAGTGTGAACACAGTGCTCTGAGAACAAGTCTGCTGATGATCACTGATGCCACCATGACACTGGACCATGTTCAAAGAGGAGAAAAGGTGCCACATCTTTCTTGTATAGCAGAAGCAAGTAACAGGAGGACAAGACAGGGTTCAAAGGGTTGTGTGAATAAAAGAAAACCACATCCATCAACAAAAGTTCCCTAAATCTGGGATCTATAACACTATGTCCAAGGGGGAATGTATGAATGGCAACCCCCAAGAACAAAGACCACTATCTCCATCAGTACTACAGCACATGTAGGTGGCATACAAGATGTTCTCCAGCAATTCTTGTCTCTACTTAAGTCACTATTTTCCTGACTCAGAAGTGGCAGACATATTATTCAGCTAGTGGCTGTAACTGCCAAAGCTGCTGGGAACCTGAGTTTACTAAGGCTTGATGGGAGCCACTGTTTTCATAAGTATTTCTGAGTAATCACCAGGTTAGTGCTAAGTAATTCTTACCCAGAACCAATTTAAACCTAAAGTCAAGAGGTCTTAGGATCTGAAAGGCATCATTCTTGGAAGTTGCCTCTTCTACTTTTGCCCCTAATTGAATAAAAATTACAAAAGAAAAATGGATAGCAATTGGGTACACAACACAGATCATAATTCTTTTATTAACTAAATTACAGTTGCTTTGAATATAAAGTTAATTGTAATAACCATTTATGGGTCAATGACTTGTGTTCTCTCATAGATGAAAACCAGTTACTGTTTTTTTTCTTCTTCCCAGCAGTGAATCATCAAAGCCATGGTGCTTAAACACAATTGTATTCCTTCATATCTATGACTCTCCAAATCAGAGTCCATCACTTCACTTCAGTTATTCTGGAAAAATGAAAAATATACATCATCACTATTTGAGTCTATTTTTATACATTAAGAAGTTGATGCATTATTAAAATTTGGAATTATTTCAGATTTAAAATATTTTCAGATTTAAAAATATACAAAATATCATTGCAAAGATCAAAGGCAGAAACCAGGCAAATCATTAGCCTTTTCAGTTTTGGTAAGTAAAATGCCAACATCAAATGAATATAAAAATCAATAGTCTGATAATCTTGGTTTGCTGGGAGGAAAAGCCAAGAGATGTTAATTTTCCAAAGCAAAAGATATTGGTCTTAAAATTAAATCTTTTATCACACTCATTTTAGACCTATATCATTCACTTAATATAAGTGAAACAGACTTATGATAAGACACAGGTAAATGAGGAAGTCCCTAGAAAGGTACCTGGAACCTCACTGATTGACAAGGCAGATACGCTATGAACACCAAGCAGATGATTTTGATTGGCTAAATATTAGCAAAATTAAGGTCACTTCAAAGATCATCATAGATTTCATCTGCTATGAACAAACAACAATTCAAGCAAAACTGCTTTACCTTACCTCCTGACACAGTGGTTAAAAAAAAAAATCATGTTAAGGGAAAATAACAAAAGAGGAGACATTCAAAGTTCTTACAGTGTTCTTTTGAAAATAGAGAAAAGTTTAGTTTCTTCACTCAACTACAGAAAAATGGCACCACAGTAGGAAAAAGAACAAAGATATTGAAAAACAAAAAGACCTCAGACACAAACACACCATGACTGCAGGTACCAGTTTTAAAATTTTCTTTAAATTTATTCTTACTAAGTACAATATTTTTTAGAAGGCAGTGGCCTGTATAAGAAAACACACATTTAAAGGCTGTGACACAAGCCTACAAGCATGGGATCATTCTGTGACTCCTGGTTGAACACAGCCTAAACACCGCTTTAAATTTAGTTCACCAACACATGATCCAAGTGTTTTTAATCTTATGTGAAAACTAATTGCACTCAGGAGAACAAAGCATCGCGTTATAATGTTCTACTTTGTTATAGAGGTGAGCAGGTAGGTCACAGACTCTAAAACAGTGAAATATAAAGTAAAACATTTACATGAAAAAGGAATGACTGCAAATACTGAAGGTATGAAGAAACTTGAAAATAAGATAAAAATCACAAAGTTAATGGAACTGAAGAATCTCAGCATATTAAGGTAAAATCGAAGTAAGTGCTAGCACTCAGTATCTCAGACTTACTTAAAAATTAAAAAATGTCACTGAAATATTCAGCAAAAATTAGGAATTATTAGTCTAGAGTACAAAAAATAAATAAGTAAATAAAACAGCAGTCAAAGCTGGAGTGACTCAATGGATCTCTCTCTCTTTTTCTTTAATCCTCTCCCCTACAGGGCAGAACCAAGTTCCTGCTTGGAAAAGTGGACATTAAATCTCATGGTAAAAGAAACTTGTCAAAATGACAAATTGCCAAACTATGAATTGCCTTATAAAAGACATTTTAAAATTATAATCAACAGGTGCTGAATCTGAAAAATGTTTTACCCAAGGTGGCAATTTGATATTTACAATTTTTGTAGTCACAATTTTGCCATTTTTAGCAAGCTAGATTAACTTTTATACATCAGTAAATGTAGACCTTTATGATTTGACAGTATCCCTTTTATTTAAAAGACGAAGCTTTTTGCTTTCTTTTCAATGCTTATAGTTCAACCAATCAATAATTATAGGTACATTTTATACTTACCATCATTCATCATTCCTTTTGATTCTTTAAATGCTAAGGATTAGTAATAAGCCAAGAAGGCAATTAGTAAGGTTCCATGATTAGAAATCATTTCAAAATAAACAAATATGCTAACTATTCCACAACTCTATAGCTAAATTCATTCAGTGACTATCGTTTTATTACAAAGCATTTCTATAGATCATACCCCACAGTATCCACAAAGGAAACAGATTTAGTTGACAATATACAGATCTAGATTTAAATAGAAACTGAAAAATTCTGGTTTCATTCCATGATGATCGCCTGTATCTTTCTGAAGTTCACAAATCAGAAATTGGAACTGAGATTCTTCTCTATTTAGGGTGCTATATGTCATCTTGGCCAATATAAAGGGGCAATGGTCCCCTTGCTGAAATATCACTTGGGTAGGGTAAACATCTACTTGAAGGACACAGAACAGTGCATTTCCCCCAAAGGTGAGGATATTACAAAAGCAATACTCCTAATTCTTGATGAATTATCAAGACAAGAGAGGTCAAGGGAAGAGAAAGGCAACTAGATTCTTCCAAGGCATAGATGGGTATTCTAACTTCTTGGAGGGCTAGTTTGTATTATGATCTGATAATGGACTAAGAAGAATATACAAGTTTATAACCACATACCATTAAGGGGTTCCTCTACAGCTTTCTGGAAAATATTTAAAATATATTTATGTAAAAACATAATTTATGCCATGTCTTTTTATACTAAAAATTGTGTATACTAACATTTAAACTATATAGTAAGTAATAAATCCTACTGTCTAAAAACAAATAAGGTAGTAAAGGCTGAAGCAAAGCTTGCAAGTATAGTTAATAGTTTAATAATAACTGTGTTACTCTCTTCATATTCTTTTTCTATACAAAATTTCTCATTTCTCACAAAAATATTAAGTGCAAACATGCAAACAGCAACAGTACAATACATAATACAGTAAAACAAGAGATGGAAGCAAAGTAGAATAATCTCCAAGTCATGCAAATGAACTCAGTAATAGGGAAAGAAAACTGTTAAGATCTAACGGTCTAACTCAACGATTGGGTTATCTCTAAGAGGCACTATGGTGTCTGCTGGCTGCTTATACTAATGTAGCTATAGCACTGACCTCCTCTGCTAAATGCTGAGGTGAAACACACAGCCTGCCAACCTGCCCTTTGGGTGTGGTCTTTGAGGTTTATTACCTAAGAAAACCTTCTTGCCATAGAAAGATCTACTTATAGGAAGCTGAATATAATAAAGTCCTCTCCAGATCTTATTTCCATAAAAGAGCTCTTGGACCTGTCACCATGATGAGCTATATTTATAATTATTTTTTCCTTCTCATTTATCTCCTCCTAAAGTTGCTCCTTTTCTTAGAATTTCCTCAGAGAGCTATTAAGGTATCCAAAATACAGTAAAATCTGAAGTAAAATTTTCAGGGAGAACAATGTTTATAAAATGGGGTGGGGAGATGAAACATAATTCAGAACAGACTTTTCTGTTCTGAATAAAGCAATATTTAAATTACTTTATAGACTGTAATTTCTATTGAAATCAATTTAATATAAATCTCCTTTCTTCATCATTAAGCTGGAAACTGTCATTCTGTGTATTCACATCAAGTGAATCCAACAGGTGAGGCAAGAAAATGGCATCGGCCTCCTTCTGATGGAAGAGGTAATAACCATTACTCCTACTCATAAACTTTTCACGCCCAGGTATGAGAAGTCAGTACAATCCTAAGGAATCATTTATTCCATTTCATTGATACCTAAATGACCAAACTTAAGTTTTAAAAGACAATTGGGCCCATTCATGCAAAGGTCATGAAATGACTTCAACATTATCTTAATTTGATGTTACACTAAGCCAGGAGCAAAACAGTTCAATATTCCAATTACCAACCCTCAGTCTAATCCATCAAGCAACCATTCTCAATTCATTTAATAAACTTTAACTTACCCTAGGAGGTTGTATAGTCCTCTGATTGGAAGCTAATATAAATAAAAAATAATATAAATTTAATAAATGAAATACATGTGATATTTAATTTCAAGATAAAATGTTCAGGGCTAAACTAGAGGGTGCCAGAGACTCCAGTGGAGTTCGTGCTTTGATACTGTATTCAAAAGTACAAAATTTTCTTGACTATAAGCATCGATAGAAGAAAATAAAGCAAATAAGCTGACTAGGTCAGATAACAAACACACATTTTCTCTCATCTGCACATGCCATCTCTCTCCCAAAGCAGTCACTGGGACACTTTCCTTGGTGGAAAAATGTGGTCATTAGTCATGCCCACCAGGAGCTCTGCATCTCTCCCTATTTCACTCAGCCAGATGTGGACAGAAAGTGGCAAAGACTAACCTTCCCTCTTCTTCATCTCCCTCAGCTCGCTGCTCTTGTTCCTTGTAGCCCAGCCTTTTTCTTTACTTTCACCTTTCTAGTTTTCAGAGCTCCAGATAGCTAACAACATTTAGATCCCTCTGAGTTTAAACAGCTGTCCTAAGCAGCTAGTTCCTACCACAGTCGAGCCCTCGTCTGCATATTCCTCCTTAGCTGTTGAGTTTCTCTTTTCACTGCTCCTGAATGGATGGATTTGTTAATGAAGATGAAGAAATACAAGGCACAGACTAAATGACAAAGTACTCTACTTGGATAGGGAAAAAGAGCTACCTGGCTTATAAAACCAAATGAAGAAGCATTACAGTTGCTATAATGCACAGATCAGAGTCCCACAGTTAAGGAAACATGAACAACTTTCTTTGAATCATTCAGTACAGGATGTTGTTCTCTTACTATTTTTTTTTGTGTGTGTGGGATATCAGGGTTTGAACTCAGGGCCTTGCCCCTCTAACACTTGAGCTGTGCCTACAGCCTTTTTTACTTTAATAATTTTTCAGATAAGGGTCTCTCACTTTTTGCCCAGGACAGTCTCAGACCATGATTCTCCTATTTATGCCTTGTGCACAACTAGGATTACAGTTACATACCACCATGCCAAGCGTATTTGTTGACATGGGGTTTCATTAACTTTTTGCTTAGGCTGGCCTTGATCCTTTCTATTTCTATCTCCCTAGTAGCTGGGATTACAGGCATGAGCTACCATGACTGGTTTAATATTCTTTTTTCCATGCAGAATTTCCTATACTACTCACTTCTTTCAGTTCAAGAAATCCTATTAAAAATATTAAAGTGCAAACATGCAAATAGCATCAACAGAACACATAATACAGTTAAGCAAGAGACAGGTTGGCCTTGATCCTTTCTGTTTCTATCTCCCTAGTAGCTGGGATTACAGGCATGAGCCACCATGACTAGTTTAATATTCTTTTTTCCATGCAGAATTTCCTATACTACTCACTTCTTTCAGTTCAAGAAATCCTATTAAAAATATTAAAGTGCAAACATGCAAATAGCATCAACAGAACACATAATACAGTTAAACAAGAGATGGGAGAAAAACAGAATCATTTTCAAGTCATGCAAACTGAAGTTGGTAACAGAAAGAAAATCTGCTAGGTTTACAGAATTCCATTGTAATCTGGCTTAAAAAATAGACTTGGTTTATTAGCAGACTACAGCAGGCCCCAGGACAGCTTTCCTGTTCCATGTGATTCATTTACTACCAGTCCTCCAGCCCTACTTATCGAGCTTCTAGAGCTGATGGGCAAGTGGAGTGGATTCTGACCCAAGGTCAGCCAATGTATGGGCGAGCCCAATAAGGCTCTCTCAAACAGGAAAATGGCATCTGACTGACTGCTAAGTTTCTACTTCCACTGGAATTTGAAGAGGAGACATAAAGAGTAGAAAACTGGAGATGAGAAGGGAAAGTGAAGAAGAAACAGAAAGTAAGCAAGGAGGAGCTCAGAGCTTAGAGATATAGGTAAGAAAAGCTATCAGTATGAATAGGACAAAAAACAGGGACTTAACAGAGGCTGAGTTAGCTGACTAACAGGCAAAGAATCAAAGGCAGAGGAACTCAGAAACCACAGCTAACAGAAGAGCATCAACCAACTCCTGTTGCTGAGGGCAACGTGACGACTCAGTCCTGATGGATTGATGTGCTGGGTCCTTCCAATGCTAAGCCAGTTCTGCTCCACAGAGGCCCCGTTCTGTACCCGCCCTCATATCTCAGCCTCTGTGAGTGCCATGGTTGACTTTAAATTAATGTCCCTCACTGAGGAGGCACCAGGGGAGTGCTTTATTCCTTGTACCTAAACATAAAGGCAACCTTTTTCAAAGTGGTATATGGGCTGAGGTGCATGAAGGAGATTTAGCAGCCTCCCAAATAAACCAGCAGGGTGAGAGCTTTGTTAGGGAACATCGAGACAGTTATGTGAGTACAGCAGCCTACTTCAGCTAACCAGGCCTCACACCTAGGTGCAATAAAAGAAAAGAGAACTATCTAAACCATCCAGGTGTCTAAATTTCTCCTGGTAATATAAAGGGTCAGAGATAAATATTTTAGAATTGTGTTTCTGAACTTATAGATGTGTTTATAATAATTAATATGAAGAACTGAAGTAACTCCCTTTCTTCCCTAATAATGTAGAGTTTCTAAGTTCCGACGCTCAGGTCCAAGGAATGTCACGCTTAGCAAGCACATTGTGAAAAGAGTTATGTGAGGAACAGTGACTTGAAGGCACACCAGTTAGTTCAGATCTTTTCAATAGTACAACACTCCTCCTATCTGTGCCTCCCAAGCAGCTGGGATTATAAGTCGCCAAGCTTATAGGCTGAGATGGGGTCTCACTAACTTTCTGCTCATACTGGCCTTGAACCACAGTCCTCAAATTTCTGCTTTCCAAGCAGTTAGGATTACAGGCGTGAGCCACTGCACTCAGCCCTATTTCCAGCTTTTCAATTCTTTGGAAACATTTTCTCTAGTGATATCATACTTACCTCTCCTCAACAACGAACAACAAAATATGTATGAATACATATATACACAATGTGTGTGTGTGTGTGTGTGTATGTACTCTCTGCTTCTGTATCATTCTAAAATATTTTAGATGTTGTGGTAAATATGGTTCTAACTGCTACTACGTGTTTTTGTATCAAAATACTATTTTATGCCTTATACTGAACTAACTGGTAATGGCTTTAAAAATGAGCAAGTATTGACTCTTACAAATAACAGATATAAGCATCCTAAACAAACGAGCCCAACCTTCAATTAATTTGGAAAGATAGTTCCTTTTAATCTTTTATATGCTCACACAGACCCTGATCTCACTTGATAAAATTTAAAATACTTTTAGTAAGAAAGAAAACAAAATTCAATGCAGTTTTTAAAAAGGCCACAGAAAGGGAAAGCCAAATCTTACTAAAATTACAATTAAGGCTACAAATTTAAACTTGGAAATAATGAAAAATGGAAAAGTTAAAATTCCCACAGGATGTGCTAGATCCTAAACTCTCCCTTTAAAGAGAGAGATGAGGATTTTATTGCATTTAAATCATGACCATTCATTTCTAAAACTACATCTGCAATGAGTAGAAATTATTTTGGAAACATTTACAACTGTTACTTCCTGATACAAATGCTCAAATTTGCAACCTTAATGTTACATATATTCATATTTACACAGTCAAAAGATAAAAGCAAACACATTAATTTTCCTAGTCTACCACGTTATTGGAAGAGCAATTTTCCTGTACCTTTTCTCTTCTCGCCTTTCAATTTTCAGAAGGTATCTCTCTGCACTCTGGCATCAGACAAGTTGATGTGAGAAGTTAATTTAGGATATTCTCAAAATGTCAATAAAACTGGACTAAATTTTTAACTTACATATAGGATATTTAGACATTAAGCCATGATAAAGAAAAATAATTTGTAGGGATTTCACTTTCATTTCATTTTAAAACAGTGACATTTACAGTTAAAGTGGTTTCACAGGCTTCTCAGAGATGGAGAAGGTAGGAGAGTAAGGTTGAGGGGGCAGCAGCAAGACAATGCCCACTCCTCTGTGCAGGAATCACCAGCCTTATGGAAGCTCTACTAAACATCATTTTTTGTCAGATATGGAAGGCATGGGGAGGCACAGGAATAAAAGGGAGGCATTCCAGATAGTGAGGAAAAATTAAGAATGGAGAGCTGACCATCAGTCAGACATCTAATTCTACTTCATCAGAGTTATGTGAATACTGCAGGTCACATTCTGTTCTTAGGTATTCACGGGGAGTGACAAAATCAGCAATGTCATCCTTCAAGACATTGATTGGAAGACTCAACAAAAATAGAATATGTATCAGCATTCAAGATGCTCACCACGGCTGCCACATGAACACCTCTTGGCTTCAGATGTCTTAACTGTTTTAAGGACTTAAGTGGCATGAAATTAGGAACTTTCCCTGAGAAACAACCAAGACTTCTGAATACATAAACTAAATATAGGGAGATTTTGGTTGAGTATTTTAATTGTTTATATGATAACATTAATTAAAAGGGGGAAAAATAAACAAAAGAACCAAAGTTAATTATCAGTCATGGAAAGCTGAAGCTTAGAAGAAAGGGTAAAATTTTTTCAAAAGTCTTATACAAATCATATGGAAAATTTCTTGACCACAATAATTCAAGTTCTGTATTAAGTTTTAGAAATATTCACCTAAAGCAGAGCAGAAACATTGATTTTTTTAAATCCATGAATTTGTAACTTTTCATTATTTTGATAGATGACTTCACATCATCAATAAAGAGTTTTTTGAAGGAATATTACTATAAATCACATTGTAAAGAACATTGTTAGCTTAGATAAGGCAACACACTAGTTTCAAGCACTATTAAAAGCATCCATTTCTCTCTATGAATGTTTAATGTAAGAATTTATACAGAAATCTGTTATTTGAAAATTGGCAGATTAAATACCCAGGTGTGGAACAATGACGTTAACTCCACATTACTAAGAATTGATTTTAAAAGTAGTAAAATCCTCAATTTCAAAATTATTTATTATTATATTGGTTTTAACTAAAAATGTTTTAAAAGACAAGCATTGGATGTCACTGCTCTTTAAATTAGCAAAAGTGACAGATTCTGATTTTCAATTCCTGTTTCCTTAGGCGTGTCCAAGTGTGCAACATGGTGAATGAGAAGAGAAAGCAGCAAATAGATCTCTGCAGAAGAGCTCTATCACAGAAATAAAATAATTAAAAATCCTTTTCTATCAATTAAAATTGAGCCTTTAACGATCTCTTCCTTTACTTAGTATAAAAAACTATATATTCCAATACATTAAGTCAATTTCTTTTCTTCTTTCATTTTGGAAGTACTGGTGGTTTGCACTTAGGGCCTCACACGTGCTATGTGGGTGCTCTACCATTTGAACCATGCCCCAAGCTCTCTTTTTCGCTTTAGTTGTTTTTTGGATAAGGTCTTGTGCTTTTGCCTCGGGTCAGCCTCAAACTATAATTCTCCTATGTAGCTCCTGTGTAGCTGGGTGACAGGCACACATCACCACACTCAGCATATCTGTTGAGATGGGGGTCTTGTCAACTTTTTTGCCTGGGTGGGCCTGGAACCACAATCCTCCCAGTCTCTGCCTCCCCAGTTACAGATGTGAACTACCAGTCATGACCTCTAATTTCTTTAAAGTAGTTAGTAATGCAGACTTTTCATTAATTCATATGCCTTTTGGCCTCTTTAATTATCTTTTCTCCAATTGTATGCTCTCATTTTTCAGAGCTATTAGTATATTTCCTAGGCTTTGGAAGACCCAATTAAAAGCCTTTTCTAAGTTTTATATTTAAAATTCTTGGTATATAAAAATAAGATTGACTTACCCACAAATTTCATATAAACTAGTCCAAGTAATTCTGCTAGAGCTATGATACCCAAACCTGAAATCAAAAGCGGACCATGCACTGGTACACATGCTGTAGAAACAAATAAAACTTTATGTTAGAAATGCCTACAAAATAACTGAATTTTTCAAAGGAATCAACAATAACTAGTAATATCAAAGCTTTGTGTGTGTGTGTGGGTGTGTGTGTGTGTGGTATTGCGGATGGAACCCAGTCTCTTTCATATGCTAGGCAAGTGAGCTACACACCCAAGCATATAATATCAAATTTTAAGGACTGCAATTCTTGTTGTAATGAACAATTAGTAAAAATTATCTACATTTATAGATAATAAAAAAAAATTATCTTCATTATTAACTCAGTGAAATCACTCCACATTATAAACCCTCCTTTGTACAACACACCCGTATCATATGAAGGCTAGTGAAAAATAGTGTGCAAAGTCTAAGGCTCCAACCAGTTAGAGCCTGGTTATTTTAAAGTTCTTCCACAAATACTAAAATAATAGTTTGGCTGCTAGAACAACCAGCCTACAAGGTATATATAGTTAACATTCTTGAAGCAGTGAGGAAAGGATTATTTTCACTGGGTGGGGGCAGGGAGAGAAGGGATATGAGTTAAAAAAGAAAAGGCCACAACAACAACTGCTGAAAAGTTTGTGGAGAAACAGAAAATCTCATTCACAGTGGTAGTGATTCACTGTCAAACGGAGTTTGGTAGTTTACTACAAAACTAACTGTACCTTAACATACAATCCAGCAATGGCACTCTTTGGTATTTACACAAATGGAGTTGAAAATTCATGTCTGCACAAAAACATGTACATGGGTGTTTATAGAGGCTGTATCTATGTTCACAAAAAACTGAAAGCAACCAGGAGATGCCTTAATAGGTAAATGCATAAACAAATTAATGTCATATTCCCAAAGTAAAATATTATTCAGCACTAAAAATAGCATGCAATCAAGCTATGAGAAGACATGGAAACTTAGATTTACATTTCTGAGTGAAAGAAGCCCATATGAAAAGGCTAGAACATTCTGGGAAATGTAGAACTATGGAGACAGTAAATAGGTCAGTGTCACCAGAGGTCTGGAAAGAGAGAGCTGAACAAGTGGAACACAGGGTTTTTAGGGCAGTAAATCTACTCTGCATGATACTAAAATGTATGCCATATACATTTGTCATAACCAGTGTACCACACCGTAATCTAAGCTATTAACTTCAAGTGACAATGTCTCCATGTTGGTTCAGTCTAGTGTGGGAGGCTGAGGGAAGCCGTGGCTATGTGGGGCCTATGAAAGGGGTGGGAGTATGTGGAAACGCTGTGCCTCCTACTCAGTTTTTCTGTGAACCTAAAACTGCTCTTTTAAAAAGTCTCTCTTTAAAAAAAAAAGAAGAAAAGAAGAAGAAGAAAAAGGGAGGGAGGGAGGGAGGCAGGAAGGAGAGTCCTGTTCAAGAGAAATCCAAGCACAGGTTTGGGACTACAGAGGATGTAACTCTTACCCATTATACAGAGACACAGTCCAACCACAGCAAGCACATAGCCCAGCACCTGAGTGATCAATATGGCAATGGTGAAGGAGCTCATCCCAAAAGCTGGGAGAAGGAAAAGGACACAAGAGAGGCATGTTGAGAATACTGACGAAGCAATCACTTCTCATTGCATTTGGTGAACTCAAGACAATTCCTTGTCAGATGGCAGAAGCTTTTCCAGTGATCTAGCCCTTCCATTTAAGTATCATCTCCAGATTCACACATTTAGCAGCCTTTTATTGTCACAGTCATCTGAGTGGGACAGGCAATTTTTACCCCAAATCTTAGAACAATGCTGCTTTGAACATATTTGTGCATTTTACTTCATACTTTGTGTGTTATTATGCATGGCTTCTACACATGAACACAAAATTGGTCTGATGGAGAGAACTGTTACGCAAATGTCATTGTAAACATCAAGACTTCTGTCTCGTGCATATGGAAGATCTATCATTTTATCATGAATGGGTCCCTTTTCAATGTATACAGCAATCCAGAGAGAGGCTCTAAAACTGAATGTTAAATGTGACTTTTTAATAATAACAAAAATATGCTAGTGATTTACTCTTAGATGCAGAAAAAAACAATACTGATCACAGGATATCCATATTATCTTTTAAAATAGTGTCAAGGTTCACAAATAACTAAAAAAAAGTGTAGGTTTCCACATTTTTTATTTATAACTCCATCATGTAAAACTAGTCTTTTTCAGAGGATTAGCAAAAGAAGAAAAAGAGTACTTTTTAAAAATTAGCACATATTAACTGTACAAAGGAGTTTCACTGATATTTCCATGCATATGTGCTTTGATCAAATTTACCCCCAATAGAGTACTTTTAACATCTACTTGTAACTACAAAAATGAAATCAGAGTATGTCGACAATCATTAAAAGTTATATTACTTTAACATTATGCTAACTGGCATCAAATACACAGAAAAATTATTTTTTCACAAAGTAATTAACTGTCTTGAAGATCTAACATAGCCTTAAAATCAATCTGTACAGAGAAATGTCACTGAGAATATAATGGACAATCTTTTAAACCAACTTTCACTGAGCTGTTAAAAAGCCACACAAAAATATTTTTACTCAAAGAGCTGTTTTATAAATTAAAGATAGGCAAAATCATGCTGTAAGAACAAACACGCACCTGTCATAAACACATTGTACTGAAGTAATATCAATATTCCTGTAGAAATTACAATGAGACCAAGTCCAGCAGCATTCTCTATTGAATATTCTCCTGTTAATAAGCAAAAATACTTAAAAAATATTTTTATTCTGTGTGAAGTGAAACTACTTTAATTTATTAAATATGTTATTCCCAATATTGTACTTCTAAGATATGAAAGGTTTAAAAGTATTCCCCCCTCCCAAATTTAGGCAAAATGAGTGACCACTTTTTGATGATTTAAGACCAAACTAAGGAATTTACATCTCAGTATGTTGAATCCTTGACCTCTATCTTCTTCCTACCTTTCCATGAGAAGCTTTAGTCATCTCTTACCATTCCCTTCCTTTGCTCTATTCAGTCTATGTTAAAGTCAAATCATTGCTCTTTCACGCTGTCTTCTGATTTCATTTTGTCTCTAGACCCTTACCAACTCCAGATGCAACCAGAGCCACCAAATCTATGTTTCTAAACATCTCATCTACACTGCAATCTCCTTAGGGAACCTCAGTGGTGTTCTAGTCTACCACCCTAAGTCCTAGCCTGTCTTTTTGCTTTTCAGTCCATGTGCTCCCTGTCCTTATCTCCCACTCACACTTCCATCCCCCAGATGTAACTGCCACTTCAGGCAGACATGGTTCTCATGTTCATTTCCTCTTCCAGTGGAGTTTGCCTCCATGGTGGGTTGAATGGTGGTCCTAAGGATATTACCTTCTCTAATTCCCTAGAACCTACAAATATTACCTTGTATGGCAAAAAGTAAGTTACCGTATGTGACAAAAATATGATTAAGTTAAGGATCTTGAAGGAGGAACATATCCTGAATTAAGCGGGTAAGCCCTGATTCCAATGACAAGAGTTTTGTGAGGGAAAGGCACAGAAAGATTTGACACAGACACACAATGACAGTGGAGAGGACAAGGAGGTAGTGCGACCACAGAGGCAGAGACTGGAGCCATGCTTCCATGCCTACAGAATGCCAAGGATTGCCTACAAATACCAGGTGCAAGAAGGGGTATGGGATGGATTCTCCCCTAGCATCTCCAGAGGGAGTGCGGCCCTAATGACACCCCGATTTCAGACTGATGCCTGCAGAGCAGTGTCAGAATTTCTGTTATTTGAAACTACCCCATTTTCTATAACTTATATCCCATTTCCTATAATAGCTCTAGGAAATGAATACAGTCCTCCTTGGAAGGCCCTCTTAACATTAGCCCTGCATCCCTTATACTACCTGTGCAGCTTACCTGGGATGAAAACAATGGCTCCAACAATAACAACTGTGGTGAGAAATAGTCCAGCAATGAGTAAAAAAATGATCTTCTTATTTGTACGGTTGGATTTATATTTAAGTGCTTAAAAGAAAAAGAAAGAGTTATATAAACTCAATCACAAGGGAAGCTATTTCTGAAACATATAAGGTGCAGAAACAAACTGACAACTCACTGTAATTTCACTGTAATTGAATAGTCTCTGGGGAATAACTCCTTCACATCATCAGGTCACCCCACATCTTTTTCATATGCCAGTGGACAGGAAGGACATGGCATTATAAATGTGGATGCTGAGCTTTAAAGAATGAAGCTGTTTACCTCAGCCTTCCTTAGCTGAGGCATTATTAAACTTTTGGACTAGATAAGCTTTTCTGTGGGGGTTGCTGTGCATTATAGAATATTGAGCAGAATCCCTGGGCCCTACAGATGCCAGTCATGGTCAATCAAAACGCACTTTGACGTTGTCAATGTCCTGAGGAACAAAACCCCAGATCAACAACAGAAAACTGATACAGATAATACTGACGGGAAACAACTGGTTAATTAGCAATACTAAGAAAAAGAGAACAAAGTTCTACCTTATACAAAATTAACAAAACATAATCCTAGCTAGTCTGGAGGCAGAGACAGGAGGATTGCGATTGGAAGCCAGCCTGGGCAAAGAGTCTATGAGACTCTATCTCGAAAATACCCAACACAAAAAAGAGATGGCAGGGTGACTCAAGTGGTACAGTGCCTGCCTAGCAAGGGTGAAACCCTGAGTTCAAACCCCACTGCCACCACCAAAAAAATAAAATAAAATAATAAAGCATCTGGAAATCTGGATTTAAAAAAAATTAAGATAGAATAATCACTGAATAAATAATAACCTGGTGAAATTCTAGTGAAGAAAAATGCTTAAAATATTTAAAAAGAAATAAACCAGAGTCAACAAGATCCATTAGACATGTGACTGTGATGCTAGGTTTATTGTCAAGCACCTGGTATGTTCCCTGAAAGAATGGTGTAATGAATAGGCCTAAAAATATTTTCTTTTATATCTATTGTCCTTTTTGCTTTGATTAATATTGGAATTAATTTTTCAACAAGAAGTTGTTAAAAGTCACCTCTAATCAGACTGAGAAGCAGAGGGCGACAAGAAGTGTAATTGAAATTCTGTTGTGTGACTATCCACCTACACCTGGATATTCCATGCCAGTAATCGATGGGTGACTGTGGTGAGGGGAACTAGTTCAAACATTATATTTTGCATCTACTTTTCTTCTCCTAAAATGATAAGCAGATTAAATATGGTAAAATCAACAAAGTAACCCCTAAATGACCACCATAAAAATCTATGTTTAAGGTAAACTGCAGGCACCTGAAGATTTGTTTTGACTCTCTACCTACCCATACTGTGGATTGATTATAGCCTCAACTTCAGTCTAGTTAAAGGGAGACAGAAGCCTAAGCAACAATTCCTCTAGAAAAATAAACTTTTCTAGACATATGTCATGCTTTCCATTTTAAACCCATGTATATTGTTATCTAATAGAGCTTGAAAGTTGTGCAAAAGGTTGTAAAATAGAAGCTGCTTCAAATGCACCTCACAATCAATCAAATAGTCATTAATGACTCTTCCAGGCTTAACTCGTAAAACAGCCACTAAGATCAAACAACAAAAGTTTACTTTTGAATGCAGTCTAATTTCATGCAAAATGCTGACTTATCTCATTCTTAACAAAAATGAGTTTAACCTCACCTAAAATTCGAATTCTTCAGGCTTAGAAGAGCTACTGTAGGAGAAAAATAACGCCAACAATAGCCACAAAATCAATACCACAAAATACTATTATTGTCAATGTTTTGCCAATAAAATGGCAAAAATGCCCTCCTCCCTTCGAGAATAAGCACACTGTCTTCTGGAGGGAGCTTCAGTTCCTCTTGATTGGTTTAATTACTAGCTACATTCAGAGCTACCTTAAACTTCTCCCTAAAGTATGCAGCATTTGCAGCAAATATATTAGTGGGCTCTACTTAGGTAACCACAGGCAAGGGAGGAGTATTTCTATGTTTTCTTTAGTGAACCTTCTAAGGAGTTTCTTTTGGCTTGTATGCTTTGGTCACAATGGTCACTAACATTTCACCAGATCCCACAGTGAGCACAGATGTCAATTTTCTCAGCTATACTGAGATGCCATAGAATACAATAATCTTGTGGGCCTTTTGTCGGTGATCTTTTCCAGTTCTTTAATAAGTGGATTTATCCTTATTTATCAAATTTATCAAAACATTAAATATGACAAAGAAAATAAATTCAGGTAATTCCCCAAGCACTTAGCGTTAACATAAAAATAATTTAATGCATTCTTAACAGCAGGCTTTTATCAAACTTCTTGGTATGATTTTCTGGTTGCTTAGCAAGACAATCTATGTAATTTTAACAGTCTGCATGCTTTTAAAAATTCCTCTCAGCTAAAACCATCAAAATCAACACACAAAATATGAGAAACAATGGTATTTACATTTTTAACAAAACCTTAGTGCTGCCCAATATAAGAATACCAAATATCAAGGAAACATGATGACTTTTGTTTGGAGGCAGGGCATCACTATGTAGCCCAAGCTGGCCTTGAACACAAGATCCTCTTGTTTCTGCCTCCCGAGTGCAGGGATTACAGGAGTGTACCACCACACCTGACTCAGTATGACATTTTTTATCAACACATTAGGAATTCTAAAATTTTCCCTCATCCCTTTCAAAATATATGCTGCTTAATTTTAATATAATTTCAGAGTATAATCAATATAAAATAAATAAATGTAGCAGGCTACTTTTCAGAAAAATGTGTTAGGTTGGTTCATTCACTTTATTTTCCGAATATTTTCTGTGTATCTACACTGTACCAGGTCCTTTTACGAGTCCAAATCAAGGAAGAAGTAGATTACTTTAACAGTAACTGATTGAACACCATCAGCCCATCTGCAATCATTACTCACAGTGCTGACAGTGCACAAAAAAAGCAAACACAAGGCTGGTTTCAAGGTCTTTACACTGCGAGGGGTAAGTGTATATTTGAGGGCAGGGATGCAGGGATGTAGGTCAAGGGAGGTCTTAGCCCAGATCTCCTCCCCACTCAACTCACAGGAACAAAGCACAGACATGTCTCTCTAGCCACTCGAAGAAGGTGCTGGTATTATGAATGGACAAGATGTTTTTTCATTTTGTCTATGAACACACAAGATTTTTCTGTTCTCTCTGTGACTGATACAGAGAACATACAGGATAGCATACAGGCTGTGGCTGAAAAAATCTAGTAAAATTATTAAGTCAATCAAACCTATCATGTTAAATTTTTATGATACTCTATAAAGATTAGATTTCACATACCCATATAGGCCCACATAGACTGAAGTCTTCCTAGTAAAATCTCCAAATCTAATTATTCGACACTTGCTCAGGGACATGAAACTTAAGACAGTCCTTGGCCCAGTGATCAGTGAGTAAGCAGACACAGAAAGGCTTACCAGTGAGATAAAATGCATATCAGATTAAGGATAAATCACAAAGTGAGACAAGGAGTTGATTAAATTATTATAGTACTGTTTTCTGATGACTCAAGGAAAGTAATTTAGAATCATTTTGGTACCTGTTGAGCTGTAAACCAGTATCATTTTCAATGTGGATGAAGTACAATACATCTCATAACTTTTAAAATAAAATTATAATTCCAATTTTTAAAAGTTATTTAAATTACATTTTTAAAATATTTAATACATTCATTGAAAACACACATATGAAGGCTTTGTGAAAATGAACTGCTAGAGAAAAATGAATTGCCAGTTATAAACTTTTTACTTATCAGAAGGCAAGGAAAATAAATTTATAATAAAGTCCATACACTATCTACTTCTCTGATGAAACCATTTTGTCAAAATGAATACTAACTAAACCTTGCATCCCCTGTCCATAGGACCTACAAACAAAAGAAGCCAGGCTTTGGGTGGCAGGAATTTGAATATAAACAAAGAGGATGTGCAACCAATGATTTTTCCTCATTCCAAATCACCCTGGTTTTGTAGAAGATTTCAGAATTTCAAACTATATGCAGGAGTCAGGATGTCTGAATTTGGAAAAGGTCAAGAAGTAGCAACTACATTTCTATAAAAGAGGAAAGTGCTGAGCTTTAGTTTGGTTCAGTTCTTCCTACAGTAACTGTGCATAACTACATGATATAATAACAGAATGTGGTTATTATGTGGACAGGACCAAGGGAAAGCATTGAGAGTTCAAAATTATCAAATAGAATTCCCATTAAATGTAGTAACAAAATCCTATTGCTAGGGGCCTTCAACTTAGGTCACTGAATGATTTTTTTTAATATTTAGTGGAATGATATTCTGCCTCTTGGACAAAAATTTCCAGTGCAACTGAGTGTATGTCCTTACTTCTTTGGAAAGATCTTTTCTACTCAATGAAGAAATTCTCAGTTACTTTTTTTTTTTTTTGGTGGTACTGGGATTTGAACTCAGGGCCTGGCAGGCACATACTTTACCACTTCAACCACGTCTCCAGCCTGCATTACTTTTTAAAATGTATACTTTAAAGGCCTAATTACTTTCACTAGTCAGCTAGGCCTCAAGTCTGAACTTAAGAATTTCAAGGCTATTGTGATGAAGGAATTTTTTCTTTGAGTTTCCTAACAATGATTTCCATAGAAGCATCTACCCAAATCCTTGTACAATAATGTTGAGTAGGAATGAGAACATTAAGAAAGGAAATGAAAGATACCTAGAATAAGCAATTTGAAGTAAACTATAGCAGTCTTCATTTTGCACGGTTCTGATATGCATGAATCCCAGTTACCATGGCTTAGTTAAATAACACAAGTCCCTCCAAAATATAGTTCAAATTTTAGTTACCAAAATACAATAACTAAGTAACTACATAAAGCACAAACTTCACTGCTACCAGAGGTAGCAGTCCACAAATCACCACATAAACAGCAGAAGAGCAGATGTCACGATAATCAGTGATCAATCATGTCACTTTTTTTAAAGATGGCAGATGGCCAGTCAATGCATCTCTATTATTCAGTTCA